ACAAGGTCTTTGCAAATAGGAAAGGGTGGAAGGGGTGAAGGGAGGGCAAGGGAAGGGGAAAAAAAATAAGAACCAAGATACTCATGTAAAGGTACAAGAACCCAATGATGAATGTAGCTGTATTTTATACTAAAAATGTACCAATAACCTTAATGGGGAAAAAAATAATAATTAAGTCACTAATATAATTAACCGGAAGCTTCTTGGAGTACTTTTTAATGTTTTAACATTGAAAAAGTTATTCATTTATTGATAGATTTATAATAAATAATCTCTGAATGAATACAACATCATATTTGCATACTTTTAGTAAACTCTATAGTAAAATTCCTGAAATTATTAAAACTACTACAATTGAAGATTGTGGTAATACAAGTAAAATAAGTTAGAATATTTTAGCTATTCATACATGACTTAGGTTATATGGTTGTAAAACCATGTAAATTTGGCAACATGTTTACATATTTACAGAGACCAGAACCACACTCTAAGCTATATAAAAATATGATTTATGGTAAGTGCATTTCTGCAGAAAACACATTTGGTCTTGTTTGTAAAAAAGTAAAAATAAGAAGACACGCTGCCTAGGTCTGTTGCAGAGGCAAAGTCCGCCTCTGTTTTGCTGCAGCTAAAATCTTTGGATTTGGGGGTTCTAAAGGGAGAAAGAAAGACTGGGGCATCCAGAGGGTCGCTGACTTTACAGACCGCGGAGGTCTGAAGATCCTGCCGAGATTCCCAATGGAGAGTCAGTCCTGGGCTTCTGAAGTGCAGCGACTCATGGTTTCACCGCTCAGGGCTCCGCAAAGACCGGCTGGGAAGCATGCAAGCTCCTGTGCTCCTGTCGCTGCCCTACTGGCGGATCCGGAAGGTGCGAGTGTACAGTGAGCGAGTCCCCGTGTGCCTGTGCGTGCACATGTGGTGGAGCTTGGTGGCTGACTCACTGCTGAAAGTGGTGTTAAAAATTTAGTTTGGGCAACTTAAGTGGGCCAGGCGGTAGAGGCCCGGAAGTCAGAATATCTACGTGGGCACACACGTCTTCATGTGTACGTGCATTTCTTACAGCCAGATTTACAGCACTCAGATTTTAGTTGCTAGCGCTGTCCTCTCTCAGTGGGCTGTCCAGTCCCCACATTCACATGGTATTTGATAAGAGGACTGAGCTCTGGTGAACCTGATTCTTCACTCAAAATATTTTTGTTATCTACCTCTAAACACTGCCCAGGAAATATATATCGGTTTTTGTTCAAATAAAGTATAGTTTCCTGGTACCTAACATACTTCTGGGAAATAAAATTTCTTACGTTTATTACATTAGGAGTATTATTTTACCCAGCCACAATCTAATACACATAAATAGAATTTATAGAATCAGCCAATGTTATGCCAAGAAAGCAAATTGCCTGAGGAACTGTACTATACAAACAGTATGCGATGAAATGGTTTCCTTTTTCACCAGAAACTTACTAAATGTTGGTAGTGAAGATTTCAAAGATGAATCAATAAAGTTAGTGGTAACAGTGAAAATGTTAAGCAATGGAGCAAATATGACAGTGCAATTCTGTGACATGAGGACTTTGCCTCTGCCTAGTCTAAGCATTTCTCATTGCTAGAATTCAGTGGGAACTAGTTGTTTTGTATAAGAAATTTATTCCAATTTAATAATTCAGAAATTAGAAACTGCGTGATCTCTGTACCATGTGGTCTGGCTGAAGTATACACAGTCTTTGTATTTCCCTGGTGTGGTTGTTTAATACAACTTTAGCCAACACGCTGCTAATGCCTGCCACTTGTTCGTGGTAATGGTGACCATGTTTTCCTCTTATTGTGAATGTGGGTTAGAGACACAGTTTCTCAATGGAGGGGAACTTTCTCAGTCATTTATAAACAGCCTTGTTCGGAAACAGAATCAATAGGGAAATAAAAAATTAAAAGAAGACGATTCCTCTAATCCATGTATTGTAGTAACATTGTCTCGGTTGTAGTAATGTACTAGACCTGGGAGGGATTTTGTTTCTTGGCCTTTAAGTTGAGAAAACTCTCACAAGCCTAAAATACGTGTTGCTTTGTGCTTTGATCCCTTGCACAGAATGACCAATCAAAAGTCGATTCCATGATGTAAGCCTTGTTATTTAGGCAGCGTTTCTGCCTACGTGTTCAAGCCATGTGATGGTTCAGTCAGCTGACTGCTATCTCTGTTAGCTCCTTGTGGGATAAACAAACACCTTCTGTGGAAACTAGCGATTGATAAAATAGCCTTTTGAAGAGATGTGTTTTGTACACAGAAAGCCCTAAATACCTTTTGTCTTTAATTTTTATCCTCAGGTTGGTGAGACCAGATGTAAAAAGGTTTGTACTTCTAAGTCAGATCTGAGGTCCAATGACTTCAGCATCGTTGGAAGCTTACCGAGAGATTTTGAGTTGTCCAATTACGACTGCTATGGCAAACCCATTGAAGTCAACAATGGCCTGGGAAAATCTCAGGCAAAGAGCAGCAAGAAACCTCCTCCAGCCAAACCTGTTATTCCCACAGCAGCAAAACGAATCGATCTGTATGCGAGAGCATTATTTCCTTTCTGCTTCTTGTTCTTCAATGTTATATATTGGTCTATATATTTGTGATAAATCTTTTCCATTTATATAAAGTAAAGTCCCATTTCATTGTGACCAACCTCATTCATATTTGCCAATCTGTGAAAACTGTTGCATTTCCATAGCAATATATTACATTTTGGATGCCATTTGATTGTAATAAAATGTGGCACCTTACTTATGAATGGCAGCATGATCCTGCAAGTCTGTGGTCTAATAATGATGTATATACGTATAGCAAGCATATTGCTTTAAGAATAAATGAATGATGAGCATACTACACATTATACATCTAAACAGTTCTCTTCAGTTTGTATAAACTGCAAATACTTCAGATAATTCTGGTAATGAAATGTTGTGCACGCTGAATCTTGTTATGGTCACCCTTCTAATGTATGCAGTATTTCAGAGTTCCTTCCTTGTAACATTCAGAGAAAGACGTCTTATTCTTATATTATTTTGGATGGTATTATCAAAGATTAAGCAAAGTTTTATTGATACTGTTTAAACTTTGTAAGTAGAAATATATCAATTATAAATTATGGAGGCTCTGTGGAGAAATAAAGTTCAGAAAATTATTAATTTGTAAAATCAGCTCATGTTATCTCAGTTGTCAAAATGCCAGCTAATGAAATACAATATGCATTTTTGAGGCAAAGGGAAACCTGAACTTGAATCAATCCATACTAAGTTCTGACTTATGATAAAATATATATAAATAAAAGATAGATGCATCATTTAAATATTTAGGACAAAAAGCTTATTTAATCCACATTAAAACCTAAAAATGTATTTGTATTTGTTGATGTAGACTATACAAAAGCATTGTGCCTTAAAAACAGTTACGCAAATTTTAAATTGGAATGCACTAGTAAATAAATTATTTCATATCATTTTAGGAAACCAAGAGGAAATAAGTATTATACTACTAGAAGTAACTTGAATTGTAAAAAAAAAAAAATCCATGATCATTGAAATTTTAACTTCTTATTGGATTAAAATGCCTACATATTTTAAGTAAAATTAAAAATTTTCCGAATTTATTTCTTATTTATTTGAATATTTTGGGATATATTACAGAACAGTTAAAGATTAAGTAAATGATATCTTTGTTTATATTAGACTTCACTTCTACTTGTATTTTCTTTCTTGCTGAAAGTCTAGGCAACTGAGATTTACTTCTTTGATCTCATTCCAACCAGAAAGTAAGCACTAAGTCTCATTTTATGAGACCCCCCATTCCTAAAAATATCATATTCAATGTACTTTTTTTCTACCACTGCTGAAATTAAAACTAACAGTATTATAAACATAAGATCCAATGAATATATTTGGAAAGTTCCAACTGAGACTCTGTATGGCCAATTTGATTATATAATGTATTAAATAATGTATTAAAATGTTATGCAAACTATGATATGTAAGACAATGCTATTTATTTAGTTCACTGATGGCTAATTTTAGAGACTCATTGCAAAAAAATTAATGGGATATAATGTAGTCCTCTGTAGTGCTCCAGCACCCCCTAGTTGCAAAAAATGTAACCATTTGAATAATTTTAAGGTGCCACAACTAAGATTATTGATGAACTTCAATACCCTACTAAGACTGAAGGCAATAGTACTTTAATAGAACTCTGTGTGTGTGTGTGTGTGTGTGTGTGTGTGTGTGTGTGTAATGTCTTGAACAGGATTTAAAGCATTTAAAATTTTATTTGTAATAATTATACTTACAATATGTTTTCTTTATTTTTGAAAATTGTATTCATTTTGTGGAGTTTGATCTAGGATTTTATGTGGAAGATGTACCATACTAGAGTGAGGCCCTCATTATATAGAAATGTATTTGCCAGAAATAATGTGAACGGATATCTTTTCTGTAATATAATATTGTAGCCTCTTCAATAAATCTTAATACCCAAGTATATATAAGCAACCATCCCAGGATCAGCATCACCCATAACTTCAAATGGAATGTTAGATAATGATCATACAATGAAGTCGTGCTGACAGTTGTTTTTAATACTGCTCTCAGAGGTTTAGTCATAACTCCAGGGCAGTTCTCCCATGGACTTTCAGTATTATGCATTTCAGGGTTTGTGAGAGCTCCTGATGCATCAAAATCTGTGTCATTAAAATAAATGTCAACCTCCCCTCCTCACAAATCACTAGGGTTTCTTATTTTCTATTTCTGTTGAGGGCATTCCTGATTCAGCCACCCGTGGTCAGTCAGTTTCCCTTCCTGTGTTATGCTGGATATTCCTTCAGGGCCCGAGTGCTATGGTTCAAATGTCCTTCGGATCCTATGTGCTTGGTGCTTGATCATGGCCCCATGGTGTGGTGGTGGGTGGTAGAGTTTAATGAGGTGGGGCTAGTGGAAGAGGTTAGCTTGGTGGCAGAGGGCGGGTCAGGGCCCTGGCCCTTCCTCTCTCTGTTTCTGCTTTCTAGCCACCTTGGGGGAACCACTTTGCTCCACCACGTGTTCTGCCATGATGCTCTGCCTGGCCGCAATGCGAACAACCAACCATGGACTGGAGCTGCTGAAACCATGAGCCAAAACAAACTCTTACTCTTTTGAAGTTGATTTTTCCCCAGTATTTGTCCAGCAGTGGGAAGCTGATGAGCATATTCTTTCTCTTTCACCTCCTCTCCATTCCTGCCAGTAGCATCCGAATTCAGTTTCTCATCCTCTTTAATTAGGCTATACTATACTCCACTATAGTACAGTGTTACTTGTTACTTATTTTTAAACTGTATGATTTTTTTACTTGTGAATTTCACAAGTAATGCCCCAGTACACTGCTATGATACAAAACCAACACATGTATTTGACTAAGACTGGCCTTCTCACTTAACTAACCTACCTCTTCCCCAAGGGTACCGTTGTTGTGGAGTACTCAGAACTTACGCTGGTCATTGCTAACCTCTATTTAGTTTGTAAATATAAAAGATCATTCAGCATAATGAGCTATGACATAAATGGTATCTTACCTGATGGGTAGTTTTGCAAATTTTTCCCACTTAACATGTATTGAAATTTTTTCCAGTTGGGGACATATTAAATTTAACTTCTGCCTCCTTATTTTGTATAGCATAGAAATTTAATGGTTTTTTTCCCTAATTCAAAACAGTGACTACAATAAGTATGTTTGTGCACAGATGTGTCTATGTACGTGAAGTAAATGTCAGAAGTGGAGCCGCTGAATTGAAAGGCCTACACGTTTTAAATTCTGGAGAATGCTTATTTCCCTCCAAAGTGAAGCTAATGTAGCTTTTCACAATAATATTCTCAAGTGCTAACAGTGGCCATCTGTTATTCCATTTTATATTGCAGATACATTATTTTTCTTTCTATGAAGATTTTCTGACATTTCAGGCTGCCAAAAAAGCTTAAAAAGTATAACAGAAAATTCCTTTGTATCTTTCATTCAAATTCTGCAAATGTTAATATTTTCTAACACTGGCTTTACTTTTCTGCCACTATGTGTGCATGAGACATTTTTTCTAAAAGTTTCAAAATAATGTAGCAGATATGATCTCCATTTATCTCTACCACATTAGTATGTGTTTCCTCAACCACAGGAGCATTTTCCTTCATAAACACAGTAGTACAATGTATCAACACCAGGAAATTAACATTGATAAAGCGCTATAATCTAGATGCCTAATCCAAATCTGCCAATTGTCACACTATTTTTTGATGCTCAGGATCCCATGTTTCATCTAATTGTCATGACATTAATTTCTTTAAAACAGAGCTGTTACAATGGTGTTTGTTTTCTCACTCAAATGTCTTTAATGCCTTTGTTACCTAGTAAATCAAGTGAAAATTTTTCTATCACATAAAATTTACATGTAATTACATCTAGTAAGCCTTTAACTTATCTTTGCAGCTGTTTCTCATAACACTACTCTGGCCACATGTTAATAAAATTCAACCAAATTGATTTGGACCATTTTCTGTCACTCTGGGCCATACTGGAGTACAAACAGTCCCTTTCCTTTAAGTGGTTAATGTTTTTCTTTTAATTGAATCAGTCTTTGATGGCAAGTGTCTTCACTCCTTTTAACTAATATGTATTTTTTTCCACACCGAGTGTTTTTCAGTCACATGTTTTTATCTCTAGTGAATAATGCAGTTGAAATATTTTCCATTACATGTGCAGTGGTTAAGTTATGGTGCTGTAAAAACCACTCAGTTTGTCATCATCCATATTACTGAAGATTTCAGTGTACATGTATAATTGGATATAAAATTTTAAAGTACCAGGCCTAAAATGAGAAATAGTTTGAAATCTTTTTTATAGACTTTAGTCAATACTTTCATGATCTATTATTATCCTGCTTTAGAACAGCAGGCTATTCAAGTTATGTTTTTAAATTAATTGCATGTGTTTATGGACTATACCAATAAGGTAACATTTGCCCACTCCCATTGTTTTTAAATGAAGCTAATTTTAACCTTTTAAGGGATTAAGGTCAATTTCTTTCAAAGCATCAGCCATTTCACTGGAACAAGACTATTTTACAGGCTTTCACGTGATTAATATTGATGGAAAACTTTGACGGGAAAATATTCAGGGTTGGTTTATTCTTAGTGTGTATATATACGTATACACTTGATATTTCATATTTCAGTACATTTTAATCTTCTCTGCATATTTCTACACTATTATATTATGTTATTGTATCCATAACCAGCAAGGACAATGAGAAAGCTCATGAATTTCCTCAAGTTACATTTTCTGTACTTCAGATAATAAAGGCAATTGCAAGTATTTTTACATTTCTCAAATCTCACATCTCACACTCCAAAAATAATTATTTTCAAACCCATTCAGAGTGTGACTGGAGTCAGATGTCTGGGCTGCCTGAGGCTGGAGGAGCACCATGTTCATTGCAGAGGGCTGTTGCACAAATAACCAAATAACCGGGATCATTCAAGGGCCAGCAATCTTGGGGGATCTAAAAGGGCTTTTGCCTCAGTGCTGCACCTTGGGGACTGAGGGGGGAAAAATGCTCTTGTGAGGAAGAGATTGGGAATGTGGGGGACCACAGGAGGAAGCATGAGTGCAGGGCAGGGTCTCTCCTTTTTTGGGCTGGAACATTGCAACAGACTTCACCCACCTGCTAGTTCTAAAGAAAGATTTAGCTGTTCCGTCTTAACCATCTAGGTGGGGCTTCTCTCAGGACAAAGGAAGAGGGAGAGAAGGAAGGTCTAAAAGGGTGGGAGCAAATGGTGATTCTGAAGAGCCCCTTATCCTGGAGAGGATTACAGGCAAATACAATGGAAATCAGTATATGTTTATAGGATACTTCTTATGATAAAGGTCTATGCTAACCAAGAGCTAGAAAGAGTAAAATGTAGCTCATCATCTTCAATGACACATACTCAACACTGTGAGAAGGCCAAATTAGACTACATACATAAATCACTATAAGAAAAATGAAAATATACTGCATATTATTTAAACACATAAGAAGAACAAAGTTATTTGTTTAAAAGAAAGATGTCTTGGAGAACAATAGAGAAGAAATACTTCAGTATGATTAAAGGCTATTTTCCAAGAGATCATAGGATTTTGAAGCTAGAAATTTACTAAAAGTAAGAATATGAATTGAAAATGCAGAAACATTACAAGGAAAAAAAAACACCTAAAGTGGTATTTGAATTTTATTTCCTAGTTAACATTTTTGAGGAAATAATGAGCAGGAAAACCCATTTTCCTTAGCTCATGATGTAATGCATTTTAGCTGATATTCTATTTTTTAACTAAAACCCACATCTGACTTTAATCCTATAACTTGAAACAATTTTCAGGAAATCCTGATTTGCTCCCTGAGGCCATTGCAATTCAATTAATATCAGTGACAGTGAGGCAGGGTCCTGAAGAGGGGCAGAGTCCCCCATGGCTTAAGGAGAACTGCAGTGAAACTGCAGGTCCTCCGCCAATTACCATACCAGAAAGAGATTTTATTAATCAAGTAGGATTGCTGCCCTATGCCATGATGAGAGTAAGAGAAACACCTCCTTGTGAACTGGAAAAGCAGAGGAAGAGGCAAATCATTTGAGCTTTAGAAAAGCCCGACTCAGTTTGGTATGTATTTCAATGGAACCTTCTTTTTAACCTTCCAGTTGTAAATGGAGCAGGAAGGAAAGGCATTTGACAAGAGGAGGCGCCTGTCTGCCTCTCTTTGAAGACGACAAGGCACACACTACACAGCTTGGAAACCTCCTGTGAAAGAGAGTGACAACAGCAGTGTCCTCTGCTGGCTTTACTAACAAATTCCAGCATTTTTTCATAAATTGAAGTCAGAATTTGCCAGTTTCTCTGCTACAGAGATGATCTTTAACTTATTAACTGAGAGGACATTGTATGGGTCTCATTAAGAGGGAATAACCTAATAAAGTCCGCCTTGGACTACTATAAAGCCTCTTTTTAAACACAGGCATGCTTTTCCGGTTCATTCATTGGGAGGCTCAAAAGCTCTTTCATTCGAAAATCACTAGTTTCCCATTAGTTCTCTGGCACCATGGAAGTTTTCGAATTTTTAGGTGAATTAATATAAACGTCCACATAGAAGTCTGAAATTTCCTAAGGAGTATATGTGGAGCATGCATTATAGCAACCTTAACTTTCGGTGCTGAACTGAGCCCAAAGCCAGTATTCCCTATGTACAGGGGAGGAGAGAGAAGGAGGTAGAAAGACCCTTGGGTTGGAAGCACTGACCCTTGGGTTTGCCATCGAAGACACGGGTGTCCTCGTCAAGGAAATTTTTCTTCACTCATCCTATTTTATGTAAAAGTGGAAATAAACAATAACATAAGAATTACTGGTTGCGATGTGTGTATCTATTTTTTGTAGTGGTCAAAAGCAAGGTGTTTGGAAATACTCTTGGGTAGAGTCATACTTATTTGTGTAAATACAATTTGTGTAA